TGCCTTTGAACGCCAAGTGACGGAACACAAGACTACCTTGGAACGCAAACCTCTACTCTGTATCAAACCTCTACTCTGTATCAAAACCTCTACTCTGTATCAAAACCTCTACTCTGTATCAAAACCTCTACTCTGCGAACAGAGCTACTTTTCTCACCCGATTCTCGGCAGGTGAGAATGGTAGCTCTGTTAGCAGAGTAGCAAACCTCTTTCACAAAACGCATTTTCAGATTCGAGAACAATACAAAACTACCATACTATTCTTTATAAATTATTCAGAAAGCATTCACTAAGTCATTCCTAACACGATGGCATTTTATTTCGCTTTAGGTGATCAACTGACGGCCTTCCAAGACTTACAAGATGAAGACGCCAAGAAGAAAAAGCTGCAAGACCTCGTTGTTAACGAAGTCGACACCAACAAAGACGGTTTTGTCACTGAAGACGAGATCCGCGCCAGACTCATCAAGACAACAAAACAACAAAGAAAAGAAGAGATGAACAACACTATGATTACACATGATGACAGTAAGCGTTGACAAGTAAAATGTTGCTGTGGAGGGTTGGGGTGGACGGCAAATTGCTATGGTGTTATTTTGCTCTAGTTTTCTTAAGTGGGAGATTTCTATTCTTTTGGAGAAGATTAAATCAATACTGAAAAAGCAAAGGAAGAGTGCAAAGTTTTCTTAAAATGGAATTGCATGACACCAAGTATCGATGTTTGCTGCTAAGTTTGTGCTGAGTAGATGTTATTTGTYRCTTCAGTTGTTGTTTCGTAGATAACGTTTAGATAGGATATTGTTTAGTGATATTTCAGCGCTTGGTGATGATAACACAAATGTATGACGTTGTCACAATGTCAAGAGTCGTAAGCGCAAACATAATCACGAAACGTAAGCGTATTTAAACGTGAGTAAGGACATATAAGCTCAAGAATACCGAGCATGCTTGTTTATCGTTATGTTTATGCACTCGTGAAAATAGCTTATGGGTTTTTATAACTTTGTTCGGCCCAAATATCGATGCCTATCGTTATAAAAACATAGATTTTACATTCATTTTTTATGTGCTGAACAGACAAAGACGGCAAAGTGTCATGGGAGGAGTTCAAGAAGCATCACTACACTCACGAGAAGGACGACGCACAAGGACAAGCGTCAGACAAGGAACAAATGGAAGAAGACGAGGCTAAATTCAAACATGCTGACGCTGATGGAGATGGCGGTCTTAACCTTGACGAGTACATTTCATTCTATCACCCTGGAGTAAGTAACAACAAGCTACTGTGACGCAGTTATATGAATTTCCGTCAACATGTGGATTCGGGGCCTAAGTCGGTTTCAGACAACAAAGCGATATACCAGTAATTAAGTTAGCAAGCGCGCGACATAAACATAAGCATAAAGCAATAAGTATACTTATGCCATTGTATATTATTAATGATGATATGTTGAGATTTTCTAATCATTGAGTATCGATGATTTCAGGATGATGAGCGCATGTCTGCTTTTGTCATCGGACACACACTCCAAAAGTACGATACTGATAAAGATGGTGCCTTGTCAAAAGAAGAATACCTCAGTAAGTTTCTAGAAAAAGGAATTTCTTGATTAATGCATTGCTCTCGTCCCCTTCACTCCCATTATTCTGCAATGTACTGGATTAAATCAGTTTATATACTGCACTGTGTCACATCGAGAAATCAGACAAAAGCCATACATATACTATAAACTAGCACTTCAGTGTTGAGGTACACACGAAAAGCGGGGAGACATTTTGAGAATACTTTTGAACTGTTAGCTTGAATTTTAAACAGTATACGGATCTCATTTGTATAGGAAATCGCACGAGAGTACAATTTGGAATTAATAGTCACGAGTAATATTTTGAAAGTTCTCGTAATTGCACGAGCCCGATAGGGCGTTTTTTGTTTATAGTACATTCAACTTAATTAAGGAGTACAATTAACGCTGTAATTGTACTTCTCTCGACCAATCAGAATGTATTATTTTGTTGAATGTACTATAAAAAAGGAAATAGCAACCATAAAATCTATACAGAACTCCTATAGATTCAATATCAATTCATATCACAGAAACGTTTCACTAGGTGGTGTCTCGAGCTGTGAGATTCCAAGATCTGGTTTAACTCGCTTTTTACTTCTTTATAATTAGAATCTTACAAAGATCTTAATGACGACGCCAAAGCCGAAATAGAAAAGGACTTCGCCAATTCATACGACACCAACAAGGATGGTAAATTGGAAGCCAACGAGTTATCCAAATGGCTCTTCCCTGATGAGGACATGTCACGTGAAGAACCTCCAGCCATGATGAAAGAAGTTGACGATAACAAAGACGGCAAACTCTCCATGGATGAAATTCTTAAAAACTACAAAGTATTCGTCGAGGATCCACCAATTGGCGGTAGCGACCACGATGAATTATAAGCCATGAACATTATGAAAGAAAATTGACCGAAAGAAAATGGGGAACTGGGACCTTAAGGGACATTTTTGTATTTGAATTCACCCAATTGATAAGAGTTTATATTCCACTAGCACTGACAGCTAGTATAACCATGTTCCATAACTAATATTAATACTTATGAATAATAGCCGCTAATATATTAACGCTTATAAATAAAATATTAATATGAATAATATGTAATGACTAATATATTAATGATTAATAGCTACTAAAATACTAATGAATAATGACTAATAACTATAATATTAATGATTAATGACTAATATATAAATGAATAATAACTAATAGCTAATATATTAATGATAAAATAAATGATTTGATCCTCTTGGACTAAAACACAGGCTATCACGCAAACTTCTTAAACTTCTTCTAATTATCAATTAATAAAAAGCTTGTAATAATCTGGTATAATCAGCAATTAACCCTCTCAATTAATTTTATGAATCTTTTTGTAACATCTTATTTTAGGTATTTCTTAATTTTCCTGCTAACCTGAATTCTAAATGAACCGATTTCCCCGGCGATCAAGTACAGAAATCAAAAACTGTAAAAACTAAATCATCATCAGTAACAGGTTGTCACTCAAAATACTAACAATTTAATATGATTAATATACTAATTGATATTTCGACTTTTAAGAGATTAACTCAAATACTTTGACGACTGTGGTTTAATCCTATATCGCTCGTTAAACGTACTGTTTTTAAAATACTAGTACATTAATCTAAATCACTAATACATCAGAAGTGGAATATTAAACAAATTTACACCAGCTAATTTAGTCTTCATTGATCGAGTCGGAAAAAAAATTCATTCCTCGGGCATAAGTGTGATGGCAGTCAAACGCACATATTTATTAACTTTTCTTTTTTATTAATATTTTTTGTGCATGGAAAAGTAACAATTGATAAATGACGCCCAAATACGCTTCTATTTGATAAGATTTACTCTACGACAGAACATACATCAACAAAGAAGAAAAAAATTACCGCTGTTTGGAAGCCGTGTTTCTTCCTGTGGAAGAAATTTGAAGAAACCAAAAATGTGCAGGGGCGCGTATGCATGGGGTTCCAGAACCGGCCTTGTTAGACGAAGTTTATCGATAGAAAAAAAAATTTTCAGTTAGGTGTGAATCCAAAACAATTCGCGCACGAATTCTTCGAAGTCTTTTGAAGCCGCAAAGAACAAAGCTGGAACCTAGCTTCCCTCATGAAATCCCTGCGCTTGAAAATGTCCAGGTAACGTGGCGAATTGATTTAAACACTCACAGTGATAGTGATACATTCATTTCAGGTATCTAATTTCACATTTTTTTCTTTCTTTTTTCTTTCTTTTCTTTTTCCCGCAACGGTTCAATGCAATGGCGATCAGTTAGGTTTGTTGGTTTGGTTATTTAGTTTTTTGTTTGTTTCTTGTTTTGTTTTAGTTAACAGCAAGCTCCTTAGAGTAATATCCTGATTTAGACATATTGACTCTATCCCATAAGCGGCTCTCAATGATTCGGTCCCGCGCCTCAAAATAGCAAAATGATACTCTTCAGACCAACATGACGCTGATACCTATCCTCTGAGCCGATACGGCAATCTGCTCCTCGGTCTCCTCCGAGGGGGGGGGGGGGGGGGGGGATTCCAGACCCTAAAAGGTACGACCATTTTTGACGTCTTTAACAAGAGAAAAGCTCAAGTTTAACAAACTTTAGAAAATAAATGTCGATGGTTGTTGAGGTTAATAAAGTCTTCTTCTTCTTCTTCATGATGTTCGAAAATTAACCCTAAAAGGCACGGACCCGGCCTGTCGTTTGCTTTTCAATCCTGGAAATATTTCCCAAGGATGCTCGTTATCCTGGTATTATAATTCATGAATACCTGGAAAACGCATTATAGCAGTTCAACTTGAGTCTTATGCAACAAATTTCATCTTGGACGGAATTTCTTACAAAAACCCGATGAATATGAATAATTTAAGCACGGAGTTTCGTCAATCATGTAGACTACTTTTCCTCGCCTCATACAAAGATGGACGGAGACTGAATTGGGACGGAAAATTTCAAAGAGTGTAGTATCCAAACATTGAATTCCGGACATTCCGAGACTCAGTATTCGAAACTGACATTATCAGTTCCGGCCTTGTAAAATATTCAAAATATTCGCATCCCAGTGAAATCTAGTGAAATCTACATAAGTGAACATTGCACGTCAGCACATGACAGAAGAATGTAATATTGTAGATTTCACATTTGTGTCTAAAAACATGTAACAGTCAGGGAAAACCCAATAGATTTCCAACCTCTTACAATAAACACTGGCACGGGCGACAATGGCTGACATGTGAAATGAAGAGACACGGAGAAATTTCAGCACTTTGATACAGGTTGACGTTTCTACGCACACGATGGTCCGCGGCCACACGCCGAAGACCTTAAAAACCGACAAATCTGATTGGTTGATTTGAGAGTGGCACCTCCCTTTTTAATCACGTGAGACGACGCTCAGTCAATCATTTTGTGGAAAAACTTCGAATAGTAACCGGCATGGCGTACACAAGTGCCGGTGGTAAGAAAAGAGTTTGCTATTATTACGATGGTAAGTCTTTTTAACACGATATAACTTTAGAGAGTTGTGGATATTTTCCTTATGAACAATTATGTGAAGTTTTGCGTGCTGATGTAGTGTAATTACGGAGTTTTTTGAGTAGTTTTGAGGTGTGCTGTTTTCGTGTCTTAACAATAGGTGACATCGGGAACTACTATTATGGACAGGGACATCCTATGAAACCTCACCGTATTCGCATGACCCATAACTTATTACTCAACTATGGTCTTTACAGGAAAATGGAAATTTATGTAAGTGACTTTTGCTGTTCTTTTTGAGTGTTTTACTGAAGCGCGAGACGAATCAACTCGAGCAACAAACTCGCGCTGTCAGTGAAGAGTGAATGACCAGTGCAGTGAATTAATGAGTCAAAAACCGTTCGGATTTTCTTCTTTTTCGTTGATCTAGCGACCTCACAAGGCTGTCCTGGAAGAAATGACCAAATATCATTCTGATGATTATATAAAATTCCTCAAGACGATCAGACCTGACAACATGTCCGAGTACACGAAGCAAATGCAGCGATGTAAGTGGCACGTTTTCAAACCTCATTACTGATACATTTCTCATTTTCCTACCATCTCATTTTATGTCGATACTTTTTCGGGTCGCAAATCCTACCTCTTAATGCATACTTAGACCATTTTTAGCATAGCATTTATGTTAGTTCTCAATAGGTCAAGTTTAAAGTTTTTGATAAAACTCGATAAAATTTTAAGAAAATATAATAGTGCAAATGTTGGATGTTGCGTTATAAACTTCACTTCACACCGACCGGAAACCAAGCAAATCTTGAAAAAAGATAGTCCATTTCTACCTTATTTTCTCATAAATATGCAGCATAATATTTATTATTCGGTTATTGACTCGTGTATTTTGTTCAAAGATTAAATAAATACACTAGTTAGCTTACTTGGACAGCAAATATTAATAAAAATTGTGTTTAAATAACTCTTACTATAAGGGAACATTTATAATGAATCTACAATGATTTTGATATCAGGATGATTGTAGTATGTAACTTATCATTATCACAACTCAAATGTTATTTAAAGATAACATTACCATGACAAACATACAATGTAGAATAAGGAATCTTTTGCTTTACAAGCAGGCTTTTGATACATTCCATAGAATTGTTGAATTATTGTATGAATTTGCTGTGGATAATCTTTTTTTATCAGGCCCAAGGTAGGATTGATTTTAATCAAAATATTATCATACGCCAACACAGCTAGTATAATTCTCATTTTTACCATGGAATTTCTATTCCAAATTGGCCACCAGTGATTGCTTCAGAGGGTGGTAGGAAAAAGCTTTTTTTGGTAGTCAATAACTACAATTTCCTAATTCAGGTGATGAAATGTAGCAAATTAGAAAAATGTTGTCAGGTTTCTAAAAGGCAATACCATCGAAGCTAACACTGAAGGGGATTTTTGTGAGTTCAGGAATTTCAATCATATTTGCCTCAACTTGCTAGATTATATCATTATTATTGTCTAATTTGCTTGTAAAGGTTTTGTACAAATACAAATATTTATTATAATAGGATAATCTTGTATTGATTTTCCTTTGATCAAAACTATAATATGGGAAAGTTTTGTCTATTTGATGCTAAATATCAAAGGAAAACAAAGTATACACGTATCAGTAACTATTTGTATTTGATATGCTACTGTTTTTCTCACATAATTTAAATAGAATTTTTCTTCCTGATAAGTTTAAAGCACAACCCATATTTCCAAACTGATTAATAAAAAAATAATGTTCATATATCACATCGTAAATGTCAATGCAACTTAGAATAGCTACCCCATTAAAAGCCCTCCATGTGATTTTGACATGATCAATATCCATCTCAAAGCAACAATTTAAAAAATAGCAACATCAGACAAACAAACAAAAATGAAAATTTGCCATAAAAGCTCATATTCAAATATAATTTTATGGCATTTTCTAACATGATTTTGTTAATATTTCAGTTAATGTTGGTGAAGATTGCCCGGTGTTTGATGGGTTGTATGAATTCTGTCAGCTTTCTACAGGTGGATCTTTAGGTAAGAACAGTAATGCTTATCAAATGACTGCACAAACTGATAGAATTTAAGAAATGTTATTCGTTGTTGTATTTTTATCATTTACACATAGCGAATCTTTGATTTGGTTAGCTATCCCACATTGACCRTAGATCAAAGTCTAAGTGTACATGTTCATACATGTATGTATAACGTGATCTGTGATTGGCTAACTTTTACTCCATTTTATTATTACCAATTATTTCTTTATAACTTGCTCTGTGATTGGTTAACAGTTGATTTTCTCAATATTTGTTATGTATTTCTTTATAACCTGTTCTGTGAATAGCTGATTTACAAAGCATTTTTTGTATATGTTTTATCAGCTGGTGCTGTCAAGTTAAACAAGACACAAACGGACATAGCAGTCAACTGGGCTGGTGGATTGCATCATGCTAAAAAATCAGAAGCATCAGGGTTCTGCTATGTGAATGATATTGTGTTAGCTATTTTGGAACTGCTTAAGTAAGTACATTATAGTAAAAACAATATATTTGTACAATCATTAATGTAATTTATCTTGAGAGATGCATTCTTGCATAGYAAAAACTAAGAAGGCAACATAGTTATTTGGTTTGAAKGRTTTATCAAACATTCCTTGCCAAWGTAGTGYAGGCATCTGRATGTTTTGCTCTTTCTGMCATATATGACATACAATCCAAGAACAYGACCTCATTGACCTCAAAGTTATTTAGAAGGAATGAATCACTAAAAATCCATTCACACATGGTAATATGGAACAAAAGAATTGTAGATATTGCATACTGTAAAATTATCCAAAAAAGTTCTTGAATTATTAGTTTACAGTAGTTTGATTAATTATAGGCGTTAAAATATTGTTTTCACTCTACGAAAGCTGCTTCTGACAAAAAATATTGTATAGGTATAACCAGCGTGTTTTATACATCGACATTGATATTCACCATGGCGATGGCGTGGAGGAAGCATTCTACACTACTGACAGAGTCATGACAGTTTCATTTCACAAATATGGTGAATATTTCCCAGGGACAGGAGATTTAAGGGTAAGGATTACTACAACTTAGATCTTTCCATTACTAGATTCCAGCTTTAATATCTGGTTGGTGTTCTTTAGGATATAGGTGCTGGGAGAGGAAAGTACTATGCAGTTAATTTCCCACTAAGGGATGGTATTGAGGATGACTCCTATCAACAGATTTTCCAACCAGTAAGTTTTATCATCCACATTTTAAACATTGCAGTTACAGCTTCTGTCATTTGATTCATTGCTGTTGTTTACCTTTGAAATCCATTGTTGTGAACTACAGTTTTAATCGTATTCTGTATTTTTAGATCATCTCTAAGGTAATGGAAATCTACCAGCCCAATGCAGTGGTCTTGCAGTGCGGAGCTGATTCATTGGCTGGTGACAGACTCGGCTGTTTTAACTTGTCYCTCAAGGGTCATGCACARTGTGTGGAGTTTGTCAAGAAGTTTGGTCTGCCATTGTTAGTGCTTGGRGGTGGTGGCTATACAATMAGGAATGTMGCAAGGTGCTGGACCTACGAGACATCTGTTGCCCTTGATGCTGATATTGCCAATGAGCTACCCTATAATGATTACTTTGAGTATTTTGGACCTGATTTCAAGCTGCACATCAGTCCATCCAACATGACTAACCAGAACACCCCTGACTACTTGGATAAGATCAAGTGAGTAGCATTATTCTAACATATTCTACTTTCTTCCTTTTGTTATAAAAGTAACAATTATATCTTTACAGCATGAAACCTTTATTCTTAATGCATTAAAAGAATTGGTTCACTTTTTTGTTCATGAAGAGTAAAAGAAGTGTTGTATATAGCTAACATGTCTGTTTTTGTTAGGCAACGACTGTTTGAAAATCTGCGAATGTTGCCACATGCGCCTGGAGTGCAAATGCAACGTAAGTTTGCAATACAATTTTTATTGCTACCTTTTGTTCCTTTATGTTTGTATTCCCTTGGCCTTGCTTTCTTGTGTTGTATGATTTGTTTTTTGCTTGTTTTTGATGTCCATTGATATTTTTTTATGTGTGTGACATAAATCTTTTATTAGCTCAATTCAATATATTTGCTTGATGCTGTGGTTTCAAAGATACACTAAACCTATGGTGTTGTTGTTTGTTTAGCTATCCCAGAAGATGCATTACCAGATGAAAGTGACAATGAAGATGAAGATGATCCTGAACAAAGAATAAGTAGTATGTATTAACATTTATTCAATGATAACAAAAGCATTTATACTTTTAACAGTTGTGACCTTATAACAGGCAGCATTCATGTGATTTTGGATACTTACATTTTGAGATAATATGGAATCAATTTGATAGTCTTCTTCCTATGCAAATTCTATACACAAACTAGAGAAATCTAGAGCTCTATCATTAATGCAAGACATGCTTGTTTGTTTAGTACGTGCATCTGAYAARCGAATTGCTTGYGAGGAAGAATTTTCTGATTCTGAAGACGAAGGTGATGGACGACGAGACAACCAGTCAGCKCGTGAAGGTAGATCACGGAAACGAAATCGTGCACACCCAGTAGAGAACATGGTTACTAATGGAAGTGCAGAGAATGCCAATGGAAGTGATGATGTCAGATCTAATAATAGCACATCTAATAACCAAGCAGCTGAGTTAAAACCTGACTCTAAACCCAAACCATCTAGTGGATCTAATACACCTAAGGAAGGATCACCCAAGACAGTAGGAAGTACTACTGCTGCTGAGAGTACTGCTGATAACTCTACTGTACCTCAAGATGCAAACCGCAAAAGGTACACATGACATAGCTAAGATATTACATTACTTTTGTTTGTTTCATATTCTACTTACATTCAGTCCACCATTTAGTAGTAATTAGTACCCTTTGTTCACAGTATATCTACTCTAGTGCTAATTAAGTTATTGAATTTAAGGAAAGGCTCATTCCTATCTCACAGATTCAAAATTGTCACCAAATTTAGTGTTTAAATAATAAYAGCAGAAGAAATAATCAACTATGACTTGTAATTAAGTGGAGCCCATTACTGAGTGTTYTGATAATGAGAAATAATCTGTATGTTGAAAATCAGTGCATATAGGGGTGTACTACAAAAGGAAGCTCTAAATTGTTGATCATATATGTTAATTTTAAAGCATGGTAATATAGAAAGCATTCWTTGTCTMTTTTTTCAATGTGTAGTCCTGTTGAGCCAGAAGCACAGAGTTCTGYGCCAGCCAAGGATGAACAAGAAGCCAKTGAACCAATGGAGGTCGCTGAATCTGAGCCATCCAAGGAAACAAGTAGTGAGACTGATCCCTCACAACCAGAGAAAACTACAGAAACCACTCAAGGTACATTTATGACAATATGTTCATAGAATTGAAGATGTATTGTAACAACCTATGGATGGATGAGAAAATAATGAATTTATTTAAGTATAATGTAATAGTGTGATTTTCACTCCTGTTCAAATCTTATGACTGACTTTAGTTGAAGGTCAAGCAACATGATGGGATCAGTTTTCCGTATAGTTGTGTTTTTATCAGCCTCCACTTATCTTTCCCTATGCATCTCTCATCTTAGTGAGACAAGGCCCAGACACCACAATATGAGCTTGCATTCTAATACAATATGATCATGCAATAGCTTACTGAAAATACCATTAACTTTAGGTGAAACTGAGCCTGCACCTAGTGAATCTCCAGCAGAAACTCCTTCAAAACCATCTGATCAAGAAGAAAGTATGGAACAATGATAATCCTTACACCACCCCCTTAATATCCATAATATCAGCCTGTGGAATATTATGTTATTTTATATGATCAGCTAGTTTAGAGGAACATCTCAGGCTTGTATAGACTAGACTTCTTTGGATATTAACCTTTTTTGTACAGTCATCTTACATTTATACAATTTTCTATTCTTTCATTATCAAGAATCATTAATTTACCAGCCCTTACAATTATTGTCTCTATGTATTGTGGTATTGAATACAGAGGTTATCATCTCACAAAGATTGCCAATAGAGGTTCATATAAATACATTCACKGGAAAAACAGAGTGAAACAAACTTGTGTCATTTTGCCAGAAATCTTGGGTGTTCAATTGAAAGCTTTAACTTCAAACTGTTGAAACCCTTTCAAAGCAAAATGTCACATAAAAGAAAATACTGTTATCTCTACTCTATTGCATGCTTCAGCAATGATAATGCATGTTGCATTGTATGCAGTGCTTTAGTATTGCAATCTCTTAGACCTTTTTGAGGTTGCCTTGGGCAATGCATGCTAAACAATTTTCAAGTATTCTTGAATATGAATTAGAGTTTATAAGAACAAGCTGAGCATAGTCATCCCAGCAATGCTTTGCTGAATATTATATCCACAGAAATCTTTCCTGGATGACCTTTATATAAACTTATTTAATTGCTCATGTCACTAGAACCTGGTTCTCTCTAGAAACACAAGTTTATTTTCACAGAAGAGGTGGAGTACGGTTTCCTTTGAAACATCCTTGACAAATTTTTTTGTTGATTTTAAGATCTTGATCAATTGCTGAAAACGGTCTGGAGTCTTTTGTGATTTGTTCCATCTCAGAAAGTAATAGAAAAGGTTAGCCTGCATAGCCAGGCGTTCTTACCCAAAGAAACCCAGGCCCAAACTCCCTCAGATCAGCTAGGAACGCCTGGCTTCRCAGTCAAGACACTTTTAATTTATTTTTGCATAAAACTTGTGTGAATAGTGAAGGTTATTAGGTTGAAATGCGATTATAAGTATTATAGTAATGCTCAAATTATTGATGTTATTTTATGAGGACAATATTATTCTAGTGTATTCTGCCCCTGTGTACTTTGTCATGCAGCAGGCTGTTTTAGTAAAGCAACTATAGAAATCACTTTATTGGTAATTCGTTTATTTGTTTTTTTCAAGACTCTTGATAGCAGTGTTTAGTAACCATTTTCCCTCAAATTTTTCCCTTAAAATTCGGGTTTTTCAATGCCTCAAAAACAATTGATGTCAGGGTCGTCCAAACCGACAAGATTGTTTTAACATGTAAACAACAGTCACGCACTCGACTGCGTCTCGTGCGTACTTTTTTGTTCTCACTACATTTTGACGTCATCTGTGTATCTATTAGAGTACACACGCACGGAAAAATGAGATCTATTTGTTAAATAATAATATTATAAACAGGGGGAAGTTCGAAGTTCTTAGCATATTCTTCGTATGCAACCACATGGCAGACATGGCCAGTAATCCCCTGAGAAATAAAGAACAAAGCTATCCCCGTTATGTTGGATAAATAAACAATGGCGGTGATGACGTAACTTGGATTGTGGAATGCAGCAATTCGTACGTCATTTTGAATTTTGGAAAAAGGCACAACAAATATAAGGAATCTGGATCACTTTGACATTCCATAACTCTGCATAATTCAAACCAATTTCACATAAAAAGCTTCTAACAGTATCAGACATGGATACCACTTAACTCTCTCGGGTCTGGATTCCTTATAAAACTTCGATATCGTTTTGACGGCAAAATTCACTTAATCTCGTTCCCAGATCCCTATCAATATCAAGCGCCCGCGCAGTTCTGGATAYTGCTCAGGTTCCGGCTCTCTCAAATCGATAACAGATATCAATGTTTTCAGCCGTGTCGCGTGCACTTAAATCTTTCAGTTATTGATAAAAGAGAAAGCTTTTCTTCATTCAAAGAGGAAATGCAATAACAATATTCTTCTGACGTCTTCTACAGCGGAGTTCGATTAGAAATAGATTATCAACAGGGCGTCGACGCACGTGATCTCTGTTACATAACACTGAAAAATATCAGTCAATCTGTCAGTTTCAGAGTATAAGACAATGGGCATTATATCATATATTCACGGGGTTTATTGCCATGATTCTAATCACGTACCTTTCCAGCCTGTTTCCATCTGAAATGTTCATTTATTACTCTGGTTCGAGAACCATAGTTAGTAGTCTGAGATCGTATCATCATTAGCGGGATTTTTGATCTGCCATGTCGTTTTTAGGCGACAATAAAAAAAGGTTGATTCTTAAAATCCTGTTTCTGAAACCCTTTTTTTATTCAGTCTAAAATTCTCGTTATAAATCGGCGCGAACGAAAAAGGTCAATTAAAAATCACTTTACATTGCTCATAGAGTACAGCACACAGTATCTTACATCTCTCTCTATGATTGTCTGGTTGATTTTTGAGTCAAAATCTTAAAACCATTGGAAAGTATGTGTTTTGACTGCATTTTTGACATTTTAGTTACACATCGCGCTTTGAAAGTAAAAATAAAAAAATATTTCCTAGCTTTCGTGAAACGACGAAGTAACTGATATGATATAAAGAATATCACATGGGCGTGCGGAGATACGGATTTCATTCGATTCGAATGCTGAAAAGGATCTCTCACGAGTGAATATGTAATATTATGTTTATCATATAATTATCAATAATAGCAAATAATGTCGTAAAATACCCTTTTTTCTTACTTCCACTATATAGAGTAACCTTGAATGTGTTATTTACACTAGTGAAAATATCAACTTTGCACGGCAATTACGTAACACACACGAAAAAAACATGTTACGTAACCAAGTTATCGACCAATGATTATGAAGCTTTCATGCATGCTTTCATCATTTACCATAAAAAATTGAATCATATTTGGCACAGCATGACACCAGAAGGATAGTTTATATACCCCGACAAAAAACCGAATTTGTTCTGGTATTACATGCATTACTGGGTAATACCATAGYTAGTAGAGGGAGATAATACAACCCTACTATTCAACAGGAACCAAAATTGACTTTATTTGGAGGTAAGGTAGGTGAAATCCAGCTTAGATTATGGAACTTTGCCAGAACGGGTTTTGGTCAGATTTTACAGTAGAAACCGTAGGCATAACAAAATCAAAGTCATTATGTTATGATCAATGCATGAAATCTTTGGGCTAGTTTAACATGCCACTTTACAGTTAGCCATGAAATCATTCTCAATCACAGCAGTGATATCCTTARCGTTAACCGTCAGAACACTTATAAAACACACGGGCTGTGTTAATATTCTCATCGATGATTATTACTAATATATTATTATCATTAATATTATCCTAATTCGATTCCAAATCTTAAAGGAGACGCAATGCTTTGCTTTATTTTCTGCGTACTACTCTTTCTGCGTCAAAAACGAGACGTAAGCGATCCGGCTCATGTTTCATGTTGGCGGAAAAGGACCGTGGAATGTCGAAGCTGCGTAGGCGAACAGGTCACCTTTAGCACTGGCTSACGTATCAGGTGACAACATTGTTACTATGGTGACAATAAACACCAGCTCATTTGTAATGGAATTTACTCTCTTGTAAGACCATCGTTACTGCTGCGCGGTTTGACGTGGCGCACTCCAACTATGACTATCTAGACATGCTGTCAGATTTATTGCAGTTATCATTGAGTCAAAGAAGATCCAAAAACATGAAATCACGGTCCGTTTACACTGGGACGTTAACTTTTTGAGACTTCAGCTTAACCGCGTGTAAAATTTTAAATTAAAATCAACAAAGTCATGGGATACAGAAACTACAATACCAATATAACAGAACAGTGTTATTTCTTTCGCTGACTCTGCATTCAATATGAAGTAAACATCATATACACCACTCCCTTCCCCCTATATGTAATGTGCCCCTATATGAAATGTGCCCCTCTATGTAATGTGCACCTA